TAACTCTTCTACCTCGTATTCTCCTTCATCCCTCTGTTTAACCCTTCTACCATTTCCTATCTTCATCTCGTTAAGAAAGTTGAAAACGACGACGACAACGATATCAAACATGAAAACAGCAACTATCACGAAAAAATAGCGAGTGACTTTTACATCCTGAGGTGAAAACCCTTTGTCGTAAAGGGAAATGTATCATTAAACGAATATTTATTACTTTAAAAGGAACACGACAAGTAAACTGCTATAGCTATCGATCCTGATACTTGCAAAAGGCAGCATATCGTATCTTAGTCCTGTTTCTTATTACTCCAAAGGAAAAGTAAGCTTAAAAAAACTGAGGCTAAACACTTAAACAATAGTCACGATAGAAACAGCCCTCTTTGTTTTCCAAGAATTTCCATGTTTCCTGAGATAGAGCGAATACACTTCTCTTTTCAGGAGCCAACAAAAGGGGAAGAGAGAGAAGAAGAGTTTGGGGGTTTAAACAACAAAGTCGTCGGTAAAAGAACACCTCGATCCCTAAGGGGAACATAAACTCCTCCTGTAGGGGTGTCCGAAGGGATTGGCCGCGAGTCTCGCGCATAGAAGGCTTAGAAAGTAAGTTTAGCGGGTATGCTGATCGTAGCCCCACAGACACAGAAAAATGTTTAAGCCAGGTCGAACTTTGGTCGCAAAAAGTTCCTCCTGGAACACAGTTTTATAGTTTAATGGATCGCAAACCTCCAGAAAGTGAATTTAACGAGCCCATCAACATCACGAGACACGAGGTTTGATTACGACTTGTCGTTGACTTGCGGCTTGGAAAAGGAAAACGTATCAGAAAACACAGTTCAACAGCCTCTGCCACTTGATATGAGTGAAAAGTTCACTCTGATAACTGCTAAGAAAGCAACTGAGACCTTAAGTCTGAGGATGATTGAGACATAAGGCACTGATGAGGGGTATCCTGTGCAAACGCAGACGAAAGGGAAATTTTTTGGCCAAACACTCCAATGGGGAATTTGGTGTTAACAACCTAGTTAAAAACGTAAATTGGTCACCGTAAAGAGTCAAAAGGCTGACGTTTCGAACGTTAGCCCTTCGTCAGAGCGATAGGGCTAACGCTCGAAACGTCAGCTTTTTAACTCTTTACGGTGGCCAATTTACATTTTCAACTCAGTTGTTATCACCAAATTACCTGTTATACTCTTCCACCGACGTAGTACCATAGTTTCTTTAGTAACTTACCCCCTTTATTCACTATCTCCAACGACCAAGAGTTTGTTCGGTGTCGGCAGGAGCACATTGGAACCATCCTCCTCAGATGGCGGTAGAGAGTGGTCAGACATGACCTGATTGGCATGAACTGAACAGCATTACGCGACGGGGAGGCGCTCCACTGGACACCTTGAGGGAGGAGGAAGAGAGCACTTGTGGCAGATTCAAGAACACCTGGCTTCGTACAGGGCAAAGAAAACCGAAAGCTTGGAAAAACACTTGTGGTTCCATCATCAAGCTGGCCCAGAACAACCAGGAGTAGAAGACCTTCGTTGCTGTCCTACATGCCAGCTGGCGTAATGAAAACTAACTAACTACTGAGGGAAGAAACTGTTATGGCGTATTATGGTTTTACTTGTGCAGTGTCCTTGCCCCGAATTTCAAGCACATTTAAAGACAATTCAAAACGATTTGGTTACTGTTTGGAATCCCAAAACCCAGTGAGAAGTTAATCATATTTCAATACTGCTCATCGGGTGGTCACTTCCGAAGTGGATCGCAACTTTTGTCTGCCTTCAATTAGTTTTATTTAGGCGATTATGTCACTTGGATAAATGTCACCTTACTTAGCATAATGCTGCGCTGTGATTGGCTACTTTTCCATGGCTGTGCAGGATTCTGCACGGAATACACCGTGGTCTGCTTTTGCCAATTTTAACGGTTTGTCTGAGCAACTTTTCCCCTTCCTACATCAACAGGGCGTACGAACTGTTTTCAAGTCGGAGAATACGCAGTGATCAGACGTAGTGCGGCCGAAAGATGCTACAAACTTAACCCAAGACACCTTTACCTCATCCTCTCTTGGCGTGGTTTTCTGGGAGGTGTATGCAAGACAGAAGTAAGAGGCAGGACAGTGACATTCTAAACTCGCTTAAGACTTTTCCCGGCCGTGTTTAGAAAGCTCACTAAAGTGGACACACACGCATCGGACCGAAGTTTAGAACACTGATGGCGATCCCCATTGTTACTGACGCAGGGTAATGGAGGGGATTCACTAAGAGACATCACCCCAACAGCAATAACATTGCAATAGAAATCTCAGTAGTATGGATACCTATGATTCAGAAACACATCAACAGAAGAGCCGTAAAACAGCAGACCGCGAACGGAACCCATCTGCGTAATACACAGTGGAAAACTAGCCAGTTACAGCGAAGCATCATGTTTCCTTTCCCAGTAATTAATCGTTATGTTTTCCGATTTCTCATGGCCCCCATGAGGACCATAAACTGTAATCTGTATTTGACGGTGTGAAAGAATGAATGGAGCGCCGCTGGATTACTTAGACAGACTAAGCCGGGGGGTTTGACTGTGAGGGAACAATTCCAGACCCCACAAAAGGCACGTCCCTTGAGTGTGACGAGGCGTCACAAAGTTCAGGCGTTTCTTAGTTCTAAAATACTCACCCACTACTGACCACCTTAATTGTCTCTCACAAAACCCGTGACTAAGCCACAGTCAGCAAAGTAATGCTTCAAAGCCAGCAACGAGCACTTATTGAGTTTTAAATTCGACATGACGAAAAAGTGAAACAATCAACATTTAGTGCTTTCTATTCGAGATTTTGACTTTCCGTATTCTTGGTTTTCGTGTGATGTCATGAAATCTGAAAAGATTAATTTCTTGATTCTAAAATTAAATCTTGGTTCTAACACACACACACAGACTCGCAGACACACACACACACACATAATATATATATATATATATATGTCATGTGGCTCGTAATAGAAGAAGCTTTGACGACCAAATGTTTTTGCCAATGTTTTTCTTGTGGGTTCAGATGTTTGCAGCATTCTGAGGTCGCAATGTTGTTTGTTTGCGGAGTATGGCGTCTGCCTACCAAGCCACATAACTTTTTCTTGGTCATTTTGGCAAATAATTAATGAGCGGGAACCGCACACATGCCGAAGACTTGCCGGAAAGTTCACCAAGCATTATTTCATTATTCTCCAAATCTCAGTTCTTGGCTTTATCATTTAACGATCTTGATTCAGTTTAGTTAACTGAGGCGTGGCAGCCGAGTCCGCTCGTTCATTAGCCTTCCCAAATTGACCTTTACACAAAGTGCGGAAAGGTAGTTGGTGTCTTGCCGTTCTCATTGTTCTCACACAGGCGCCGTTTTTCGCTCCTCCCGAACTCTCCATCGACCGAGAGACTGGCGCGAACTGTGTCGATCTGAGGTGTAGACGTTCCGTTTTTGTCTGCTTGCATTATGGAAACAATGCCATGCGTTCGCCACCCGCAACGTTCCTGTGCTAAAACTGACGGGAGTGCCTGGGCAGCAAGTTACTTACTTCACCCGATTTCTCTTCAATGGGTAGTTCCGTGAGACGTTCTGGAAACTCACACATAGGAAATGTTTTTAAAATTTCGGCCGGAAAAGAAAGAGGAAAGAGAATGAACACTCATTAAATATTCCTGATAACGATCTGATCACATCTCTCATCAAACCAAACCCGCCGAAAGTAGAACCATAGTACTTACATACAACAAAACTTCATAAAGCCCTTATCAGCACTAATGTACAATCTCCGTTGTTGATTGTAAGCAGAAAATAATGGAAACTCATCTCTATTTAAGTAGATCTGTTGAACAGAACAGTCTGTTTGTGGAACAAAGGAAACGATGCCCAGCAAGTAAGAATGTTTCGAGTATTTGTTAGTTTTGACAGCAAGCAATCTCTAATGGGCCAATCACGCAAGCTCGCTCTGGGGAAAACTTTGAACCAGTCTATCACGGCCCTTCACATCACGTCGTCGTTCGCGCTATTTTGAAATTGTCTGTTTCGTTGTTTTCCGGTACTCTCAAACACTTAGTGGTCGGTGAGTGAAGTTTATATCGTCCAGCTAGTGTTTAAAAATTGCGAATGAAGCAGCTGGCAGTTATCTGATGAGAAACTGCGACAGAATGTGGAATTGCTCGCAACTTTAAACTTCAATTTGATTTTGAGCATTAGCGGATCTTGGATCTTGGATGGCATTTCCTGGATTGTAGACGTAATTTGAGTCTGTTTCACTGGAAAGGGAAAGTGTTTTGCTTTTCAAATATATTTTGAGTCGTACTTGATTCAAAAAATTGGGCCCTCATTCCTGCTTTTTCGGAAAGATTGACGGATACATGCAGTAATACAATTCAAGGCTGTAAGCTCAATGTTACAGGAATATCACGTTTCAGTCGAACAACTGGGATCTATTACGGCGCACATTTAAAAAATTAGTCATCAATGAGGCCCCAGGTTTTTTCCACCAGTGTACAAAGAAACTTTATTTCGTGTGGAAAGAAGGAATAACTTCATGCTACAATGCACATCCTGATGTATAAACTGAAAGACTTGTCGCTCGGGCGACTAGTTGCATTCCTTCTGGTATTTGGACTCGTGGTACCGCTAATAACACATTACTATTTAGCTCAAGAGACTCGACAAAGTTTTCAGTCGCGAACGATAAAGTTAGACCGACCCGCTGACAGGGCTGATTCAATTCTAGACAGGATTGATGATTTGAAATACGAAATTGACGAGCTGAAGAGGATCAAATTGTCTCTGGGTAATGAATTACGAGAGCTGGAAGGTAAAAAGAACAGGATTTTACGAATCATTTCCAATTATTCTAAAACAGCAGAAGCCTACAGGAGTCAAGCTGAACATTATCAGCGTGATGTGGTTCGGGCACAAAGGGAACTTGAATTAATTAAACTTGCTAAAAGAAGGGCTAATGACTGTCCAATACTACCACATTTAAAACTACCGCACAAGTTAGATGTAGCATATTTAGAGAGCAGTGATTTACTTCTTCATCAAAGTACTGCATCAAACTGTCACCTACACAACTGCTTTGATTTCTCAAGGTGTCCATTTGGCTCAGGTTTTCCAGTGTATGTCTATGAGCAGCCTTTCGGCCAGTTGTTGTCAGATTCAAGTGGGATGGAAATTTTTCAGCTGTTAAAGGGAAATCCCTATTATACTGTTGAACCTGAGAAAGCTTGCTTGTACATAGTCATTGTTGGATCAATCGAAGCAAGTCGGCATTCAAAGAGTAAGAGTGAACTGGAGAATGATTTACACTTACTGCCTTACTGGAGAGGAAATGGTAAAAATCATTTACTTCTCCACATAAGAACAAGTGTAAGGGATTCTACTAGTATTCTCTCTCTGGGCATTAACACAGGCCTTGCCTTAATTGCTCAATCAACATTTTTCAAAGATAGAACATATCGCTATGGCTTTGATATTGTTGTACCACCATCAAATGGACCCAGCACTGGGGATGTTTGGCATCTTGCTGCTTTACACCTACCAGCTAGAAGAAAATTTTTATTAAGTTTTCAGGGTGTACATAAAGATCATCTAACTAATACAATGACAATTTTACGTGATCAACTTCATCAAATCTCCAAAGAGGCCAGAGACTTGTTCATTGAACTGTATTTATCAAAATCTGAATTCTTAAGCTCAGAGCAAAGTGGTGATTGGTTATTATGGGGTAGCCATGAAAACAGATCAAAGATACTGAGACAATCAACTTTTGCTTTAATAGTGGGATCAAATCATGTTGGCTCAAGTTGGGACAATATACAAGTTAGACTGTTGGAAGCTTTACAGTTTGGAGCTATACCAGTCATATTGTCCAATGACTTTATTTTACCTTTCCATGATATGATTGATTGGCGGAAAGCAGCTATCATCCTGACTCAAGCTCGCCTACCAGAACTAAATGTCTTACTTAGAACTATAACAAATGAAGATATCTTAAACCTTCGCCGTCAAGGAAGATTCCTATGGGAAACATATCTTTCAACAACTGATGCTATTTTGAAGACAGTGTTAGCCACCTTAAGAACACGCTTGTCAATTCCTGCTGATCCTGTGACTGCATTGCCAACAGTGTCAGTTTTTGGTGAATCTAATCCACCACTAACAAGTCCTCCAGATCCAGATGCACTAATAAGCTTACCACAAGTGTCTCCAACTTTCATCAGGAATCTAACAATGACAATTGTCGATGCCTATAATGTATGGAATTACCCTCCGGGTTCATTTAGAATGTATCCAAGTACACCCTTTGCTCCAGTCCTGCCATCATCAGCACCTTTCAAGAATTCAAGCACTGAGTTTGAACTCATTGGTGATGGGATGGGTGGGGCAGGTGTAGAGTTTAGTAAAGCTTTGGGAGGAAATCATCCAGTAGAACAGTTTACAGTGGTCATCTTGACATATCAGAGGGAACTAGTACTTATTGAAGCAGTTCAACGTCTTGTTGGGCTGCAGTATCTTAATAAAGTAGTAGTTGTGTGGAACAGTCCTGAGCCGCCATCTTTGTCCCTTAGATGGCCTGATATTGGGGTTCCAGTTCATGTGAGTTGATGATGGAATTATTTAATTATCCTTAATGATTATCAGTCAGCCAATTTTTAAGTTGTTATCAATTGTTTATATCAGTATTGCTAAAAAGAGAGTAACCAAGTGCTTATTGCTTAATACTAGACAGATATTTAATTCAAGAGGTGCTCAATGCTACATACACTGATTCTGATACAGTCAAAGCTAAAAAGATTTTGGAAAAAAAGTGACTGTCTCATTGTTGTAATATCAATGTCGGCCAACAGTCAGCAGATAGTTGGCGGACACTAAACTGACAGGCCACTGACAGGTAACCAACAGGTTAATGACAGGCAGTGAAATAGCTTTATTAGACACCATATTTACATTTTACAAAACTGATGAAAGCACACATGTGCGTTTTTGCACATGTATGCTTTATAAGGATTGACAAAGGTCTCCAAGTGGTTGACCATGAGGTGGATGTAGCCCAGGTTGTGGAGGTTGAAGTAAGGGGAAAACTTGTCAGAAATAATCGTGGCTCCAGGTGTTACAAAGTGTTGTAAAAAACCCAAGTGCCTCTAGAAATGTGCACTCAGTTGTACTTGCAAGAGGGGGATTGGGGCAAAGTTAAAAATCCACAATGGTGAATGGGCTAGGAATTGAAGTGAGTGTTAGGAGAGAAATAGCTTAGAAATTGTGCTGAACTAACATAAAAGAGCTGGAGACTATTCAGAGTTTTATTTTATCTTTTCGATGCAATCATCATGGGTTATAAATCATAAATTTTTCAAGGCAATAATTGACCTAAAATTACCGACATTCTACAGACAAGTTGCCAACACCTTACCGATAGATTGCTGACAGTCAACCGGCAGTCAGTAGACAGTTGGCCAACAGATGTCCTGCAGGAAGTTATCTTTTCAGCAAAACTGAAATAAAGCTGTTGGCCAACTGTCAGTAAGCTGTTGGCCAACAGTTGGCTGACAGTTCGCTAACTGTCGGTGGGGGTAGCTGTTTTTCACAATTACCCAAAAATTAACAACAAGACAGTCTCATAATTTTAGTTTATTTTGGTGACAACCACAGAATGTCAGCATACTCACTCACTTATTAGGGGAATAGTACCACAGGCATCAGATTTCAGTATAGCAGGCTTGTGCATATATACTAATAAGCTGTACTTATCTTTTTTTATGTTTTGAACAGGTTGTTAAAGTAGCAAAGAACAGTTTGAACAATCGATTTATTCCTTATGATGTTATAGAAACAGATGCTATTTTTTCTATTGATGATGATGTAGAAATGCGACCTGATGAAATACTCTTGGGATTCAGGTGACCAAAGATTTATTATTAACAGATCATGGAAGTGCTCAGTGTTTCCAAACTAAAATTTTCTAAACTGAATTTTTTGAGACAGTAAGCAAGCATCTTTCTGTTGCCATGTTATAATGCAGATTGTCATCTAACAATGAAACTGACGGCCAGAAGGGTACCTCTTAAGCATCTCTGCCACTCAGGGTGTGAAAAAGTTAGTTCACTTTATATTATTAAGTGAATAATCTTGTTTTGTAGAGTTTGGAGGGAAGCAAGAGATCGTATAGTAGGATTCCCAGCACGTTTCCACGCTTGGGATGCTCAGAACAAGCAGTGGCTGTACAGTTCAGAGTATTCATGTGAACTTTCTATGATACTCACTGGTGCAGCTTTCTACCACAAGGTGAGTAAGAGGAAATGCTTCTGGACAAGTAATATTGGATTCGCCAGCTAGGGAAAAGGCTGCATCAGGTCAAATTTCCCCATTTCTTTGTTAAACAAGTTGTTGTTGTCAATTTTTTTTCGAATTAGCTAAATATAGCAGCCTTCTTGAATGATAGATCACCAAGACCTGATGTAATTAATTGTATTTAGAGTCCTTCAAATATTTTTGCTTACATGCAGTTGGTCTGATTGTGTCTGGTGACTAAATTTACCCCCAATTAAAGTGTGGAATATTTGGTAATTTTTAGTCAAGATATATTCCTACTGTTGGGATAAAAGTCTTTCTCATCAAGGTCAATCAAGTTGGAAAAGCATTTTGTAGTTGTGTCAAAGGAAAGACAAACCTGTCTGTACATTAAATATTTTCCTAAATACAAAATATATTTGAAAGATGAAAAACACAATAGCCCTCCATTAGTTTGAGGATATGCTGGTAAATTTTTCTTGAACATTGTCTTTTGTTTTAAGCATACAATTTTCTGTGAATTTTGCTCTTAAAAAAAATGTTTGCTTTTCAGAACAGATAATGTTTGTAGACAAATGTGCAAGTATGTTTTAGTGCCAAAGAGAGGCTATGTTTCATACATTTTGGTACATTGTAATCTTGAAGATGTTATCACAAGTCTTCTCTAAAACTGACATGAAAATGTTAAAACCCAAAATTGAGCCCCATCAATCCTCCCTACCTGTACAATTTGAATATAACATCAAAAGGGTCCTAAAGATTTTGGTTTACTATTATTGTTGATAATTAGTTTTTTGCATAGACCCCTCAGCTTCCTTTTTAGTTTTCTCCAGCCAATGATGTCATTTATGACACATGTGTTCTGTTGTGATCCTTGGTGTTTCCTTGCTTGAAGACAAGGTCAACCTTGAAGTAAATGGACATTATCCACAGAGCAGCTCTGATGAATATGAGCTGACCTCCTACCAGAATGCTGGGCCATTGTAACTATAAAATTACTCCAAAAGTGTGCAGAAAGTAACTAGAGGAGAAGTATAATTTTTTAACACTCAATTTTGAAAATGTTTATTCAATTTCTCTCTTCTTCTCAGTATTTTGGTTATTTATATACAAATTGGATGCCACAAATTATCAGAGACAAAGTTGACGAATACATGAATTGCGAGGACCTTGCCATGAATTTCTTGGTCTCTCACATCACAAGAAAACCTCCCATAAAGGTATGTAACCAGATGAGTTGAGTTTGTGATGAGGGGTTTATTAGAATTTCAAGTTGCTCAACTAGGACAGTAGCAACCCTGCTTTTTCCATTGGCACATAGCTGACTCATTTGGTTGATGTATTTATGGTTTTATGTCATTGTGGGCCTCTCTTGGAAAAAATATTTTGTAGCTGTAGGCTGACTTTCAGGTGTCAAAATAAACAGGCAGACATTTTATGTAATGTATATCAGTCCTAACCCTTTATCTTCTAAGAGTGATTTAGGTCTAATATCTCCTTATAGCATCACTGCTGAATCAAACATGAAACTCATGAGAATAAGGAAAATGATGGAAAACTTAATAAGCTTGTGATTGTCAAACAAATTCTCTTTGTCAGTATTGTGAGAAATGATAAGATAACAATGAGAAGAATATGAATAATAATGTCCTGGTAGAAAGGTTAACAGTAGCTGTGCTATAACACTCAATAGCTTTTAGTTATAAAGTAATGTTGTATCTTATTAGGTGACTTCACGTTGGACTTTCTCCTGCCCAAACTGTCCTGTGTCACTGTGGAATGATAAAACTCACTTTGAGGAACGCAGCAAATGTATCAATTTCTTTGTGAAGGTGTATGGTTACATGCCACTGCTGAGAACACAGTTTAGGGCTGATTCTGTCCTATTTAAAACCAGAATTCCTAGTGACAAGTCAAAGTGTTTTAAATATGTTTAAATTATAAATTAGCTAGGTCAGGGCAAAGGCTAGTGAGCAATTCTACAAAATTATCACAGTAGTAATGAAAGTGGAGACTAAGACCATAAAAGAAACACAGAGGAGTCATGTTCAGAAAATATATGGGCAAATTAAAAGATGTATTTTATCAAAAATTTTCTTGGAAACTTTAGTTAAAATAATGATGCTTAGTTTGACTCCAAAAAAAAAAATTAAAAAAATGGCCCTTGAAGGGCTACCATATCCTTATGGATGTAAAAGGTTGAAACAGCAGCAAAACTATTTTTTTAAGATTATATTAATTTGGGCACAGTTTTCATTCATTATTATTTTGCATTGGGGATTTTACTTATGATGGAGCTTAGAATATTCTTTTACCCATTCATTTTGTTGTTTATAGTCTAAGGAACTATTATGTTTTTTGAATTACCTAAGTTGCTACAGTAAATGAAACACTTAAAACAAGATTTTGCATCCCTTGGGAATATGAACTATGAGTTAAGTATGACTATATTATAATATTTGTCAGCAAATCTTATCAGTAATCCATTCATCAAACATGTTTAAACACTAGCCAGTGGAAATTGAATGTTATTCAAAATGTTTTTTGACCAGTAACCCAGAGGCCAATATGTGGATTTGTTTTATTAGCTTTTAATTGTTATTATTTCTAAGACATTTCTATGATACAAAAATAGGTAAAATATATAGAAGGCTAGATTCATAGTGTGGCATGTTGAGTCAATTGAGTTGTTAGTATGTACCTTTCAACATTACATGGAATAAGGGAAAAAACAAAAAAGATCAGACTGAAAGAAGATGTTGTTATCATCATCATTATCATCACAGCACAGCTGCTGTTTGACACTGGAAAGTTGCACCATATCAGCTTTTCCAAAAACTCACAATATTTCATCCATATGACCATGAATTTCAAACATGTTAAGTTGAGAGATACATACTTGTTGAGTTGGAGGGTTGGGTGTAGAAAAGGAAAAAACTAGGGAAAAAAGTTTGAATTTTCAATTTATTTATTATGTTTATTTTACAGATTGTTTGTGAAGTATGAACAAATAATTTGAATATATTTCATATCTAATATATATAAATTTTCAATCCAGATTTAAGAAAAAGTCCATCCATATATACATGAGTGTGAAGATTATTTTTTTTATGCTCCCACACCAAAATATGTATCACTTGACAGAAGTGAGGGTAGAGTTGAAGATTTTAGATCCAGCTCAGTCAGTTACAATGAATTTTTGATTATGTTATATTTAACTTAATAAAGAGAAAATCTGATTAGCTAAGAGCAATTTTCATTCAGTTTTCCTTAATATTAAATGAATAGATTTCAATTTGGTTTTTCCCTGCACAGCAATTTTTTATTGTTTTAAACCCTTTCACTCCCAAGATCTCATTAGTAATTATCCTTACTGTCTGCCATACAATTCTTATTTGAGGTTAATTTGTTAATTTAACGGACAGTCTGATAATTGATATTTTTTGTTTATTTTTATCAATTATCTGTTTGATATTGTACAGATATTGTAAGGAGAAATTATGGAAGTTAAAGGGTTAAAACACTTGCCCCACAGACTCGTACTCAACCAAAGTGGGTTTCAAAAACTATTAGCTCTTGCTCATGATGTACCTCATGAGCATGAGTAAATAACCCTTCTGGCATGACACCAAGGTTCACAAACGTTGTTATTACCACATATGTGGATCTAGTGCTACCAATGCTCACACCTTATACATGGCGTCTGCTCCAGAAAACCTTGTTGATGACCGTATGCCAATGAAGAAATGTAAAATGGTTTCCGTGTTTACATAGCCTGATGTAAACACGCGGGAGGTTGGGAGAACACGAGATAAGAGTAGGAAACCACGACGCGAAGTGGAGTGGTTTCCAGCTTATCGAGTGTTCTCCCAACCTCCCTTGTGTTTACATCAGGCTATGTAAACACGGAAACCATTTTACATTTCTTTTATAAAATAACTAATGAAAGAGGAACGAAAACCGTGTTTACATACGCTCATGTAAAATGGTTTTATGGCCAATCAGAGCACGCGTACTATTTGAATTATTTTATAAAAGGACATACAAAAATACCACGACAAGCAAACTGTTGTGTATTCATTTAGTGGAGACACTCACTCTTCAATTGCTTTCTATATTCTGTCTATATTCTAGGTCTTGTTGGCATTCATTGTGAGCATTTGTTGATCCGTATATCAGTGGAGAAACTCTCTGCAACTATCTTTGCTTAGAAAATACCAATCCTTTTACCCTTACTTAATTTCATTCATACAGGCATGAATGAGAACCAGCAGCAAAGCAAAGCAAACAAAAGTGCTGATGAGGTGGTAAGCTCTATTGTAAACATTTTCTTGCATTATTATGCACTAGTTATAAAAAGGTATATGTTGTGCTTAATT